CATTTGTATGGTTGGAGGTAGGTTAAATGTACAATCAGTTTTTGAATTATCTCCTCAGTTTCTTTCATTCAGTTGCTTTCTTTCTCCAAAATGAATTGTTAATTCTGATTGGTTTGATTTCTTTAGATGATTTGTTACATGGTTGAACACTAGATTAAACAAACAAATAAACATCCTAATACTCCAAAATTCTCACCCTTTATGAATTAATAAAGGGGCACAAGTCAAGAACTGTGGTAAGGGCCTAAACTTTGCAAAGGCACAAGCATAACTAAAAATAATGATAATAACCAGCCACTGTCCCCTAGTTTGCTTTCCTATAATTTCTACCAAGGAGTCACATAACTGATGGTTATAAAGATTCTTTTTTTTTTTTTTTTTTTTTTTTGAGACAGAGTCTCGCTTTGTTGCCCAGGCTAGAGTGAGTGCCGTGGCATTAGCCTAGCTCACAGCAACCTCAAACTCCTAGGCTCAAGCAATCCTTCTGCCTCAGCCTCCCGACTAGCTTGGGACTACACAGACACTGCGCCAACCACATCGCCTCAGCTATATTTTTTTCTATATACTGATAACTTAGTTGCCATTAATTCTTTCCTATTTGCATGCGTAGAGACAGGGTCTGCATCTTGGCTCAGGCCTGGTTTCGAACTCCGTGACCTTTGAGCAACTCCGCCCGCCTGGCTCCAGAGTGCTAAGGATTACAGGCGTGAGCCACCGCGCTCGGCCTGGTTATAAAGATTCTTACCTTTCCCCATAGATAACATCACCCCTGTGTAACCTAAGGCTCATTTTTTAAATTCTTTTGAGACAGAGTCTCACTGTGTTGCCCAGGCTAGAGTGCCGTGGCATCAGCCTAGCTCACAGCAACCTCCAACTCCTGGGCTTAAGCAATCCTCCTGCCTCAGCCTCCCGAGTAGCTGGGACTACAGGCATGTGCCACCATGCCCAGCTAATTTTTCTATACATTTTTATGTTGGCCAATTAATTTCTTTTCTATTTTTAGAGTGAGACGGGGGTCTCACTCTTGCTCAGGCTGGTTTCGAATTCCTGACCTTGAGTGATCTGCCCACCTCGGTCTCCCAGAGTGCTGGGATTACAGGCCTGAGCCACTGGGTCTGGCCTACCTAAGGCTCGTTTTTAAGATGGCCCTGCATTTCGGTGGAAAGAATGGTCCACCCAGACCAGTGTCCCATACCAAGGAAATGGTTTAACTTGGTATTGTGACCCCTACCCAAGAACTAACTCAGCAGACAATTTCTAAACCCCTATTGTCTGCCCAGAACCCAGCCAATTAGCAGACCCAATTGCCTAGCCTTTTGCCTGCCAAGCTATCTTTAAAATCTCTTTCTCCCAAATTTTTGGGGAGATAGACTTGAGAAATTCTTCCCATCTCCTCTCATATCATCTGTGATACTACACTCCTCCCATGCTGTAGCCCTGCTGTCTCAGGGTATTGGCTTCCTCTTGAGCAGCAGGCAATGAACCTGGTTGTGCTACAACAATTCCTCTTTTTCTCAGAGATCTCGTGCTCCTCAAAACTATTTTCTGATTATAGGTAGTATCTTAGATTGGGAAGGGACCTTAGAAATGATCTAATTTTAAGCCCAGCCCATTGCAGAAATCTTCCAAAACATTTCTGCAGATGAATATCCAGTTTCTGGTTAAAAATCTCCCATAATTAAAAATAATCTCTAGTGATAAGAACCTCTTCCTTCAAAAGACAACTTCTTCTTATAGAAATGAACCGGCAAGCCTGGTGCTGTGGCACACACTGCAGTCCCAGCTACTGGGGAGGCTGAAGCAGGAGAATTGCTTGAGCACAGGAGTTCGAGTAATTAGCAATGTTCAAGCCTGTGAATAGCTACTGTACTCCTGCCTGGGCAACACAGAGAGACTCCATTTCTAAATTAAAAAAAAAAATCACCAGAAATATGGGGGTAAATGACCTGTTTCCTCATAGGAAATTATCCTATTATTTCTAAATAATATTATTATTTAGGAAAGGATTGGGTTTTAATGTTTGAATTATGTAGACATATAATAAGTATGAAGAGAAGAAACTATTTGGGGTCTTTTTGAACCATTCCGTATTTAGCAAATTGGACAAAAAGGAAGTGTATTGTGTAAATTAGAGCCCATGAAAGATTTAGATTCCTAATCTGAGAAGTTCTTAGCTCCCTTTTCCCTAACCACGGGGTAATTATTATGGTTTGTGGCAAATTGATGCTCTGAAAGACTCACTTTTGAATTTGTAATTTTATAAAATAAATATATTTCCCATTAGTCCTCTAGAAACTTCCCACTTCTTTTGTTATCCTGTAGTAAGTGTACTCTATATCATTCCATCCATCGTGTTATATTGCATATGTTTGTCAACACCACTATTCTCTGAATGTTGTAAGGGCAAATACTACACCTTATTTATCTTTATTTCATTAGTGTATAGTAGAGAGCCTAGAATGTAGTAGGACTCAATAAATTTGCTAAAGGACTGATTTACACCCTGCAATCAAGACTTCCAAGTAGTACAATAGATAACATGACCCTGTGTAAATAGCTGTTTGCTCTAAACTTTCTTGAATAATTTTTTTTCATTCATTATTTTAAACTCAGGAGGATTCAATTTTAATATCAAATATCCACTTTTTTATTTTTAAAAATTGGTTAGTATGCATGCCTTTTTTTATTGGTTAGCACAGTGGTTCTCAACGTTTTCAGCACCAGGACCGTTTTCACGGAAGACGATTTTTCCATGGACCAGGGAGGTGGGGTATGGTTTCAGGATGATTCGAGTGCATACATTTATTGTGCACTTTATTTCTATTATTATTACAGTATAATGTATAATGAAATAATTATATGACTCACCATAGGTTGGGGGGCCCTAGGTTAGTATATTTGCCAAACAGAATTTTCCCTGGTCTTAATAACTCTACAGCTGAATTAAGGTGCTAGAAAATTTCTTCCTCAGTTTTAAGAATTATTTTTTAAGGACTGAAAGCATTTATAAATCACCACTCCTCCATAATTATTCAAAATTATTTTTGTGAAGTCAGTTAGGTGTCAGGAAAATGTAACCCATACATATATTTAGAAAAACAAGCTCTTAAAATGAGGGTTCCTCCAGTTTTCAAATATATTTTCATAAAATATGCATATTTTACTAAATAACTTTGTTGTTTTCAATGAATAATTGAATTTGCTCTAGTTTCTGCTAAATAAATACCTTTTATATGTAGCTTTCAAAATATAGGAATAAACACAAATATGTCTGGGATTATATGAGAGCATGCACACACACGCGCACACACACACACACACACACACACACACACACAAATACACCCAAGCACAAGGACAACTTTCCCTCGAGGCTTACTCTAAATTACCAGTTTGATGTTGTCCTCACAGGGTGCAGTTATAAACCCTGATTATAACGCAGCAGAAACCTCCAAGCCTTTAGAGTCTAGTTGGCAGTTTTCTCATTGAGGAGCCAATTAAATGAATTGCTTTGGATTGTCCTTCAGAAATCATAACTTTCGTAAATAATTAGGCAGAAAAACGATTTTAAAAGAGGTTACTTGAAATAAAGCATAGCAAAGATTTATTTGTACAGTTCACCAGGAGTTGGTTACATCTTCAACTTTTTTTCCATTGAAAGAAATAGCTTTAATGTAGGTTTCTTCACAGTTTTACATCAGGAAATACAAGAAAATTTCACCACCATGCATAGAGCTGTCCTGATTCACAGGTGTAGAGAGTTAGCTTTTAGCAGAAGGAAACCCTGATGTGTAGATGATCATGCATAGCTAAGGTTTATCTATACTAGGAGCTCATAAAAACTCAGTAACATTGTGATTCAGATTACACAGATTGCTGTGCCATTAAATTTTAATGGCTTTTATTTAATTTATATTCTTTGGTGGAGAGTGTGTGTGTAAGAGAGAGAGACAGTGAGAGACAGAGAAAAAGAAAGTTCTTTCTCTCCTGAAGATAGTTTTATTGATATCAAGCTATTTAACCTTTCTCTTTGCAAACCAACTCTTCCCACCCCCTTTTTTTGCCTCTTTAACTTTTAATTCATTACTTAGATTTAGCTATTGAAGATCCTTTCACGCCCACAAACAACTGCCAATGGTGGGAAGTTGGTAGTGGGAAATTCTTCCTGATGGTCAAATCTTTAGTTGTTAACATTACTATTATTTAGTTGTTAAAAAGTGCAAGGTACCTGAAAAGGTTGTGTAGGTATATTTCTCAGTTTTTGTATGGAGTAGATGTAGTCTCTCCTTTATGTAGATGAAGGATATTTTTAATAAACATCATCATAAAAATTATTTATAATTCTTTTGGTCTCAGTTGAGGAGTGAACTATTTTAGCTTTGACTTTAAAGACCTGAAATTCATCAGTGAATTTCTATGGAAGCATGTTCTTACAGGATAGTTAACATTGGTACAGGACTGTACAATGATTTCACACTTTTAAATTTTAAAACTCACACAGCCTATACAATAGTGAGTAACCAGGAATTTTTAATAAATAGTATTTTTTCTTGCCTCACACTGTTCTTTCTGTCTTGAGTGTTATTCTACCACTATTTCCTTTGCAAGTTTCTACACTGGACTCACTTATCAGCTTCCTCCAAAAAGAGCCCTCTGACCTTCCAGACTTGTCCAGGTTCCTCTTGTTTACACTCTCAGTATGCCTGTTTATCTTACTACGAGCACTTATCATAATTGTAATAAAATAGTCAACTCTGTGATTACTTTAATATGTTTCTTCTGTTGCACAGTCATAATACTATGTAACATTCATATAGTTTTCTTGAAAAACAGAAAACCTATAGTAATAAAGATTAAATATTGTTTGTTGAGCCATATTTATGTAACAGGATGTTAAAACAGCACACTTCCAGGTTCTTCTTCAACTGAAAAATAAAGCTTTGGGATGGTAGACAGGCACACCTGCATACAGATTTTGCAACAGAGATGCCTTTATTGCACTAGACCCCAGTTTGTTGGGCAATCCAGTTGCGGTAGGCGGTCACTCGCGTGTACACTCCTGGCTTATTTGGCAGGCCACACCGGTCTCCCCAGCTTACTATCCCCACGAGGAACCAAAGCCGCCGTGAGTCTTCTTGTACCAGTGGGCCACCTGAGTCACCCTGAAGGAAACAGAAGGATTGATTACAGAAGTGCAGAGCAAGCCCTAATATTGAGGAGTTTATTTTTATGGCAGTTGAGGAAGAAGTTACACCCATTATATCAATAAAGGCAGCCTATTTCCTTTTGAAATATTATACTAAGTCATGCAAAAATTACTGAAATCCCCCAATGATACAGGTTGTCCCTACAGCAAGTCTGAGAAGAAGATGAGAAGCACACTTCCCGGACTGCCCCAGTCACAGCCCAGTTGCCTCCTACCACCTTCAAGGAGTCTTCTCTGACCTACCCCTTTACACCTTCAAGGAGCCTTCAAGGAGCTGTCCACCTTCAAGGAGCCTTCTCTGACCTACCCCTTTCCTCCCCACTCTCACCCTTTCCAGCTTCGGGCTTGATCAGTTTCTCACTGAGGGCACTCTTACCCTGTGTATGTCTCTGCCATTGCTTCTTCCCCAACTAGGATATAATATGTGCAAATATTTCTTGGTTGGTTGGTTTATTATTATGATTGGCTGGCAAGTATCTCATAAGGAGTGTTTTGCTTATCGCCATTTAAATTTATATTCAATTGTTCACCAAAAGAATGGTTTTTGATGACATACTATAGATCAGACACAATGCAGGGTGCTAAGGATAGGAAGATAAGTGCGACTTCTATATGTGATTTCATAAAAGCACATCTGTGTGCCTGCTTGAAGTCACTCCTCCTGTTCAGCTCTCCTCATTGTAGCAGCTCCTTTTCTTTGCAATACTCATTGCATTTATGATACTTGTTTAAGGTCTGTTTTCCCAGGTATACATAAAGTCCAACAGGAAAGGGAGCATACCTATTCTGGGCATTGCTGCAGCCTAAGCTTCTAGCCCAGGCATCCTCAAACCACGGCCCTCGGGCCACATGAGGACTGCCTAGCACATTCACCCGGCCCTCCAGGTGTTTTTGCTGCCGCTGCCTGTCCTGCTTAGCAGCCGACTTGTCCCAGGCCCACAGTGCGCACTCTCCAACGGTCTGAGGGACAGTGAACTGGCCCCCTGTTTAAAGAGTTTGAGGACCCTTGCCTGTAGGAGGTGTTAAGGAAATATCTGTTGAATGATTTTCTAGCAGTCTTAGTTATCTTCCTATTCTTAGCACCCTGCATGGTGTCTGATGCATAGTATATGATCAAAAAGTATTCTTTTGCTGAATAATTCAAAAGAAAGTAATATGGTAATAAGCAAAATACTCCTGATGAGATACTTACCACCCAATCATCATAATAAACCAACCAATCAAGATGTAGTGTGTGCATGTAATAATCTAGTTGGGGAGACAAATTTAGTACATCTTATGTACTGCATGATGGGTTAAGTCTGTGAGTTCTGGAGCTACATAGTCTGGGTTTGAATGCTCCACTTAAGAGCTATGTGATCTTTGGTAAGCTAATTAATGGCTCTCTGTGCCTCATCTGTAAATAATGATTTTATGAGTTTAAATGAGTTTAACATACAAAACACTTTGAATACAGACTGACATATAGTCAATACTAATAAAAGTCAGCTATTACGATCAAGTGTGCTTCTAGAATAGCCAGCTAGTTGACCGCTTTTAGTAGTTAGCTCTTACATACCTATCTAATTACTGGTCTAGATGGGGAGAAGGGTCAGTGTGTGAATCACCAACTGTCACCGCAAGTACGGCATGGATCTGGTTAGCACCTGCCTCCTTTAAATAATGCATGCATGCTTCAGTTAACCAGTTCTCACTACTGGCCTATTACTGTGTTTTTGCTGTGACACTTTTCTATAGCGAGGAATTTTTTTGCATGATGTCTTATCAACAGTGGGCAGGCAAATGTTAGCAAGTGGTTATAAACCTCTTGGATGATGATATGGGTAAGATTGTCTTGAGCTTACCTGGCATGCATCCACTATCCTACCTTCAGGTGTTCCAGCACACAGCATTCCAGACAAGATACCTCCATTATAACTATCTGGTGCATTGCATACATTGTTACTTATTATTCTGACCCGTCCTTGCCTTAGATCTGTAACCGTGTGGCCTGTTTAGTATAAAAACAGAAAAAAACAGACTTCAGGATATGTAAATTAATGACTCTATGATTAATTTGAGAAGGAATAAATGTACTCCAAACATTTTTTCCTATTCAGCAGTGAAGGCTTCCAAAGATGTACGTAGGAGTTTCTTCCCAGAAAAAATTTCTGTAATATAGAAAGAAGCATAACTCCTTCACACGGATTTTTTTTTTTCTTTAGCTCTGTGATACAATGCCCCTTAGAGCTTTGGAGAAAATAACTATGTTTGCTGTCTTAAAATTGAATTATCTACTGACGGATTGGAAGGTTACATATCGAGTAACCTTTAATCTATCAGCAAAAGAGAAACCAGTCTGGTTTTAAGACTAAAGAATTAATCTATTTGATATTGATGCACTCTCAAAATGGCACTTTTCTCATGACTGGCACAAATTTTATTTATTACACCAAATTACTTTGGGCCAAAATAACACAATAAAACATTTTTCGAGGACAAGCAAAGCTTTGTATTATTCCTTGGAAAAATGATCTACGACATGGGTAAAAGCCCAGGGAAATTGTTGATGCTACTCTTTCACTGGCAGATGCTCTTATTCTACCCTTGGTTCTATTTGCTCTTTCACATTGCCCTCATTTTAATTTCCATTTTATTCATTCAATAAATAAGTATGAGCAATGCTTATATACACATGGAGTTTATTGCCCTAGAGGCAGGGTTTGTTTCATCCTTAAGGTGATTAATACCTTAAGGGTGTTAAAGTCCTTGCAGAATACCTATCTAAATCCTTTTTTTTTTTTTCTTTATAGGAAAGCTGTTTAAGTCCTATGGAATCTCTGGATTATTAAATAAATCATGTTTCTTTATCACTTGCCTTTAAATTTCCCCATTACTATATTTGAGAGTTACTGTATTTGAGAATTTCTGATAATTTCTAGGGGCATTGCTTTGCTTTGCTGAGGAAATTCAGGGCCAGTCAGAGCTTAAGTTGACCAGAATATAGGATGGTTTTGTTTGTAGAACCTGTCCTCTAGGTGGTTCCTAATTTTAAAAATTACATAATAGTAAATAACAGGAGCTCTTGCTACTGTTAAATTGTTTTATTTTTCCTGAGACACTTACCGCCATATGCTAGAGCTCCCCATCCTGTTACGTAAGCAGTAGAACCAGCTGGAATATTCTGGGTAGCGTCTGGGAGACACACCCTATGGATATTTTTGGTAAAGTCGACATTGCTGTCAAGTTGTACAACAGCAATATCATTTTCATGAGCTATAGGTTCATAATTGTTATGGATTATAATACGTCTTATTCTTCTTCTCAGTAGAGGAAATGCTGTGTTAATACCAAATGTGGCAGTCCATTGACGAGGTTCAGAGTAGCTAAAAAATATGAAAACATGCTATTTGAATAGCGAATTTTTAAGCATTTAGATTTGTATTTGTCATTCCCTCACCATCATCTAGGAACTATTGAATTTACATCTCTTTGCTACATATTCCTTATAATATATATTTTTTAGCTAGTAAATAAGTTTAACTCTTCACTAGCAGAATGAATGGTCATTTGTCTAAAGAAATACAGAAAGATTTTAGAAGACAATCTTGGTGTGATAAACATCTTGGTATTTTTCTATTCCAGTGAGGATATTCTGATGCTTTGAAGATAGTTAGCATAAAGCAAATTTCCTCTTTGATTTCTCTCTTTTCCCTATATCCTTCCATGCAAGAAACTAGAAGTCTGAAATGATGAACATTTTCGTTTTAATTCATTTTTTTTCAATTCTTATTTTCTCCTTTCCTTACCTTTAGTCAGAAGCTACATTTAAAGAGTAGTTATGATAAAGAGCATCCTCATCTTATTAACAGATGAATGATTTTTGTGTACTAAGTACGATAGTTGTTGAATATTTTGGTATATGTATGTATGTGTATACAACTTCAACAGGTTCATGAAGAATGCATATTGTGAACAAACTATGCATGTTTGGATTTCAAATTTTTTTGCACTGAAATAAACTTGTACTAACTTGTTATAACATGTCTGAACAGGATCTAGTTTGAGGCACTAAGAAGGACAAAACACATCAATTTGAAAAGAGGCCTTATCAGAGCATGAATTTTGCTAAAATTGAAGCAAGAATAACATCAAATTTATGGTGAAGCTTGGGAAGAAGAATGGTAAAATTATTGATACTTTACAAAAAGTTTATGGGGACAAGGACTAAAAGAAATCAGCAGTTTACAGATAGATAACTCATTTTAAGAAGGAATGAGACGATGTTGAAGATGAAGTCTGCAGTGGCAGATCATCAATATCAATGTGAGAGGAAAAAAATCATCTTGCTTGTGCACTAATTGAAGAGGACCGATGATTAACAGCAGAAATAATAGCCAACCCCACAGATAACTCAATTGGTGCAGCTTACACAATTCTGACCGAAAAATTAAAGTTGACTTGATGGGTGTCGAAACTATTGTGCCCAGATTAGCTGCAGACAAGAGCAGAGCTTTCAATGTTAACTTTAAACAAGTGGGATCAAGGTCCTGAAGGATTTCTTTGGATAATTTGAAAGGTGATGAAACATGGCTTTACCAGTATGATCCTGAAGACAAAGTATAATCAAAGCAATGGCTACCAAGAGGTGGAAGTGGTCCAGTCAAAGCAAAACTGGACCGGTTAGGAGCAAAGGTTATGGCAACAGTTTTTTTGGAGATGCTCAAGGAATTTTGCTTGTTGGCTTTCTGGAGTGCCACTGAACAATGACATCTGATTATTATGAGAGTGTTTTGAGAAAGTTAGCCAAAGCTTTAGCAGAAAAACTTGCAGGAGAGTTCACCAGAGAGTCCTTTTCCACCAGGCTCCTGCTCATCAAACTAGGGCAATTTTGCAAGAGTTTCAATGGGAAATCATTAGAGTCCTGATTTGGCTCCTTCTGACTTCTTTTTGTTTCCTAATTTAAAAAAAATCTTTAAAGGGCATTCATTTTTCTTTAGTTGATAATGTAAAAATGACTACATCGACATGGTTAAATTCCCAGGCCCCTCAGTTCTTTAGGGATGGACTAAATGGCTAGTATCATTGTTTACAAAAGTATCTTGAGCTTGAGGGAGCTTATTTTGAGAAAAAATAAAGTTTATATTTTTTATTTTTGTCTTCCAGTTTCATTTCACACCCATATGTGTGTGTCTGTGTGTAAGGGTATATGGGTATATATGCATGTATGGGGGGACAGAGAGTGAGAGTGAGCACTAACATTAAAAAAAGCAGGGCATTATCTTTGTGAATTAGGAATTGGGACTTTTTGGTTAAACATCCAAAACATAAACCATAAAGTAAAAAATGAATGAATTTCATTAAATCAAAATTAAGCATACTATAGATAAATTTACCAGATGTATGAGAAACCATTAGAAAATATTGGCAATGTTTAAGATCTAAAATTTTTACAGAATATATTTTAAAAGTTTATAAATCAATAATAAATGAACAGGAAAACCATTATAAAATGGACAAAGAATATTAATTTAACAAATACTTTTGTAACAGGCACTGTATTATGAGGTAGTGTCCTCAAATCTGAAAAGGACTTCTTAGAAATTGTCAAGATTTTAAAAATTTTAAGTAGGAAAAAATTGAGATAGAAGGATATTAACATTTCAGAGAGAAGAAGCACACTGAGCAGATACTCATACATAAGGAAATATAGGCAGAGTTCAATGGAAGAGAATAATGCTATTTATCTGAAGCTCAAGACACATACTTTGAGACATAAGTGGATTTATCTGACTATGGAGGACTTTGGATATGTGATAAGGAGGTCAGATTTAGATGGCGGCAGATGATCAGAAGAGTCTCAGAAAAGAATAGATATAGTCAGCGGCACACTTGAGTTCAGATCACCATTACTTTTCTGGGTGAACTTTTTGAGTTTAGTTCTCAACAACTGTTGAGATCTAAGATGCCTTAGTAACAAGGCAGGTCTGACTAACAAGTTTTAGTCATGCTCAAGTCTGAAATCCTTCTATTATGAGCAGTGTAATCTTTTCTTTGTACCGATAGGGTGAGTTTGTGCAACCTACTCTCCACTGGCAGCATGTTACCCTAGCGTTAGCAATAGTCTTTAGTCACCTCAGTTAAGAATTCTTGTAACCTGTCTAAACTTATTTTATTTATGCTTCTCACTACAATTGATCAGTTTTTGTGCATTCTAATTCCATTATTAGAATGTAAACTCCTTGAAGGCAGAAACAATGTTTTGTTTATTGTGGTAGCTTCTATTTTCCATAATACTGTACTCATACTTGATATCCAATAATTTTTCTGAAGCATAAATTAATGGCATGGGGGCAGTCTCGAGGTTAACCATTAGCTGGCTTCCCAGCTTCCATGATATAATGAGCAAATCTTCTACAACAATTCATTTTGTTAACATTTAACATATAGTAACATCAATGTACTCGAGCCTACCAATAACATTAAGGTATAGATAATAGTACTGCTCCTAGCTTGAAAAAAATATGAGGCTTATAGGGGTTCAGTAAATTTCCTAAGCTTTCATAGCTAGGATTTAAATGAAGCATTATGATATATAAATCTTTGTTCTTTACTATGATGATCATATGCTTATTAACTGAAACAGAAATAGCAGTAAATTAGCAAGCTAAAGGAGAAAAAGTATTTTTGCTCTCATGAATAGGAAGAAAAGACTTATCTATCTATCTATTTATTTATTTATTTTTGCACTGAATTATTTCTGGCTCAATCCAATCCTGGGGGTAGTAGGTGGAGTCCTTACGTACTCGTCCATCCTAATTGTTCCCAGATGGGTAGGTAGCTGTGGCCTCACCTTCTGAAGCAGTGAGCTGCTGTCAGGATCCATGTGTTACTGATCAGGATGCCTCCACAATGGTGGGCACTGTTGGCCTGTAGGCTGACTTGCCACGGCCAGTCTCCCTCCTGTGCCTCAGTGCCTCCAATGACTCTCTCCTCAGACAATGTTATTAGGTCTGGACGAGCCCCACATTCTAATGAGAAAAAGGCATTAATGTGCTGGGAAGATCATGATTCATTCACATTTAGGAGATGCTACAGAGTTTCTATATAATTTACAACTCTTACGTCTCCTATGAATTCTTCCCCGGGACGTGCTAGACTTTCAGAAAAGCATTATCAATATGTTGCATCTTTAGACTACATGTGTCCCTATTGTTGCATATAGACTGCATTTTAGAAAACATTTCTGAATTTAATTGGCATCTGGGCTTCAAATTCTGGAATTGCTTTAGAGTTCTCTGGAATTCCTCGTGAGTAGAGGTTCATGAAGATAGGTCAGTGCTAGATGTGCCAGCTCAGGGTACAGACTTTGGGGAAATTCCTTCCTTCCCAATAGCCTTGTTACTCACAGTGCGCTCTGTGGGCCTGCAGCATGGGCATCCCCTGGGAAATTGTCAGAAATGCTGACTTTCAGACTCACACCAGGGGACAAATCAGAAGCTACATTTTGTTGAGAAATTCATGTGCACATTGAACCTGGAAGAAAACTGGTCTCATCCAAGACTCCATAGTGGTATTGCAGTTCATCATGAAGGTTCCAGCCCACCTCCAGAACTGATGATATATTACCAAATGTGCCCTCAAAAAGGAGTTGCTGTAGGCCCACAGAATATTCTTGAGGGTGATGGAGAGTTTCTAGTATATAGATAAAGTTTACTTACATGCCTTAGAGAGCCAGGAGCACTCCACTGGCCAGAGCTGAAATGGACTAGGGTGGGCTGATCACTTAATTCCTCTCAACACCTATTTTTGTCATTTTTTTCTTATTTACTGTATTACTAAGAAATTAGAGGTAAATCACAACAATTTCTATTGCTGCTGGGATGGCTCTTAAGTGGTGCTCTGTTTCAACAGGACAGCTACCCAAAAGCTTTCTTTTTCCTAGCAAATTTCCCAGATAGAGGAGGACCAGAGTTCCATTAAGAATATACATGGAGCACAGGTTCCTTTGCTGCATCCTTCAAACAAATTCCCTAGTAAATTACTTACGCACATTTTCATTAAAAGTAACCATGCATTAAATATATAATGAAGTGGGACAGCCTAGAAAAGACCCATGGGGGTAGCATTACCTTGTAAAAACCCCTTAAGTATCTGAGAGAGACCAGCTATCCAAATATATCAAATGCATTTCTAACTACATCCTCTTGGCCAGAGAAGTAAACTGATGTTTTCTAGGGATTATATTTCTGCTATCCTAGCCCGAGAGTATATAGGATGATGTTGGAAAATAGTGACTTTTCCTTCAGGTTATAGATCCCAAACTGACAAGACTTTATAATTCTTTTTATTATGTCTTATGATTAACCTGAATCCACAAAAAGAGCAATCAATTCTGGTGGTTAGAAGAAGACACATAAATGGTATCAGCAAACATAATTTACACGTCTACAGAAATGCCAACAGAGAACCAGGACAGTAAAAGCTTCCCAAAGTTGCCAAGAAAATTTTTATGAGCTCAAGCTTGAGTACAGAATGGGTAATCCATTGCTACTTCTTCCCTTCTCAGAAGGAAGGGGGAAACCTAAACATCACTCCATGGGCCAGTGTAATTAGCAGTGTCTTGTTTCAACAACAGCTCAGCAAAGTAAACTAAGAATAAAGGTTCCACTCAAAAGACTTGGCAATTTTACTCTTTATATTTTGGGAAAACCATATTTAACAAAGTAATTTTAAAGCTTACCTTCAGTAATAAGATTTTCTGTAGCCTCAGGAGTAAGTGCTAGCATTGAAAACAAAAGAGAGAGAATAAGATCAACACAATAAGGGATGTATCATTTCATTGTGATTTCTTAAAGTGTAGTACCCAGACAACCAGAATCAGAATCACTTGGAGTGTTTGCTAAAATGAAGATTTCTAGGTTCCATCTCAGACCTGTTGAAACAATCTCTAAGTCATGGTCTCCCAAAATATCTTGTGTTTACCACCTTTCCCCAATTTGTTGTTATGCACACTAAAGTTTATGCTTTAATTTCTTGTCAAATACTTGTTAGATATCTCTGCTCGCAAGTTACTCAGTTTAGTTGGGAAAACAGAAACGTAAGCAAGCCATTCAGACACAATGTGATAAATGCTATAAGAGAAGTTGATGTTTTTGTTTATTCAAATGTACCTCTATATACTTATTACTCTACTGCTACTATTCCATGTGCTTCAGATTTAGCAGTGAGCAAAATACAGGAGCCTTGCTCTCACATCATTTACAGATAGAAAATCAAGGATCATTGAAATAAATTTAAATGCAAAGTGAAAGGAAGAAAGGAGAAAGTAACCAATGCTTTCTAAGATAACCCCAGAAGTTATCAGGGAGGAAATAGCATTTGAGCTGGAAGAAATAACATTTATACTGTATTTTGAAGACCACAAGGATTTTTTCAGGAAAACAAGGGGAAGAAGGACATTCCAGGGGGAAGGAATAGTGGGACAAATGCATGGTGATGTGAGATGTTTGCAAAGCAATGAAATCAGGAGAGCTAGTAGTGCATGCATCGCATGCAGGACACAGTGGGGGAGCCTGAAAAAGAATATACACCAGGATCAGGTAGTGAAGGTCTGTCTATTTCAATTTAAGGTCTGCATACAGGAAGTCTTCCCTGCATGTCCAACAGCATCTCAAACTCAACGTGACCAGTTTTATCCAAAATTTGCTCCATTTCCTCCTTTAGTGAATAACACAACTTCGACTGGTAGCTAGAAATCTGAAACTGTTTCCAACTACTCCTTTCTCATCATTCCCACATCTTATTGGTTTCCAAATTCTGTACCTCTGCCCCCTAACTATCTTTTGAATTACCTCCATCCTCCCTTTTGCTACTACTTAAGTTCATATTTTCATCATTTGACACCAGTCATGCTTTCATCACTTGACATCATTTCATATTACGATAACCTTCAAGCTGAGTTCCCTGCCACCAGGGAACATTTGAGCTTTTTCAATTCATCCACCTCTACTTTACCAGACTAATCGTTTCTGCAAATTTATATTATTTCACATTCTTCCTTGCTCGAAATTTTTACTAAGAAATCAGTGTTTTTATTTCCTATAAAAAAGATCCAAACCTGTCAAAACAGGTTTTCATGCTCTTTAAAACCAATCTACGCAAAATTATTTCCCACTGGAAGTTTCACAAGGTTTGGGCATCACATTTGCTTTGCAAGGATCAGTGGAGCCAATTCATCCTTTTGGAGATGTGAAGTAAAGAAAGCGTTAACCTTTCTTCTTCATTTTTTGAACACGAAAGATTTAAGTTTGAATCCTGACTGCCCCACATGGTGACTGTGGGACCCGGGGCAATTACCTGTCTTTTCCAAGCGGGGGCAATGAAAGTATCTATAGGATATAATTTTTATAAGGGTTAAATGAAGAAAAAAATGCACACAAGGCACTAAAAGCCATGCCTGAAAAATAGTAAGTGCTCACTAAATAAGTGTTTTGATGCCAGTGATGAAAATGATGACAGCACAAATCAATCATTCCAGCAAGTCCCTCTCCTCATTGTTCTATCAAGCATTGTGTTTATTATAAACTAGTTCCCCCATGCTCTCCTTCTCTGGAAATTTCTTTCTCTCATTTCAAAATATGGAAATCCTACCCATATTTCAAAGTCCAGGTCCATCCTCCTTCACGAAGCTTTTGCTGAGAGATCCCAAGCACTCTGGTCTCTTTCTTTCCTGGATTCCTGCAGTGGTCACTGTTTCTGCTTTACACTGGGCACTTGACAATATGCTATTTTGATTGTCAAAACACTCTTGTGTTGTAATGTCTTTTGCTTCAACTAGATTATGAGCTCCTGGGAGGTAGAAACCATTATGTTGTCCTGGTATTCCCAGATGGTCTAATACAATGCTAAACAAATAACAAGCACTTAGGCAGTGCTTTTGGAAGAGTTTCTTAATGTGTGGGAGCAGAGGTAATATTCGATTACGTAACAAACTAGTGCATGGTCATCAGCCAATCAGAAAGGGTGTGGCCAGGCCATGGAGTTGGAACAGTGTCTTAGAGGTTCTTGCTATGCCAAGCATAACTCTTTAGTTGCAGGGGAAGAGCTAGGAGTGGGTGAGGATGAGGGGATTTGAAAGATCTTGGGAGATAACTTTGTAGGCTGAATGCAGTGATTGTTAACCAACAAATAGGAACGCATTTCAACGTTTTCACAATCAGTACAACTACAATAGGTACGTATCAGTCCAGTGTAGGAGCCACCATAATCCATTTACGCTTGAGCTCATTATAAGGAAATCATGGTTTATTAGGCTGGTGGAACATGACAAAGTTGGAAGGCTGTCTTTAAATTCGATGCACACATTTAGTATTTCTTTTCTTTCAGTCATGCAACAATTATTCATTGAATATATGTTATGTGCTAGATACTGGGTGGTAGAAGAATAGGATGAAGAAGAAAGATTGATTCTTGCCTTTTGGAAGCTTACATAGTAAGATAAATCCAAGCTTAAACAAATAACTTTGTAATTTCAAATGTTATAAACATTAGGAAGAAAAATAAAGGAATCTATGAAGTGAATCATTAATAAAATGGTTCTCTGATCTTGAGCATCTACTTACCCTTTCTATAGCACATCCCCAAATTGCACATCTGACAATAATGTTCCTCATAAGAAGTATTGGAGCGATAATTAATAAGAATTGTTAGCAAACAAAATTTGCTATATGAATGCCAAGTGATTCTTAAATCTTAGAATGTTTTCTATTAGAGAACTATATGTAATATTTAGCTTTTTAATATATTGTTTTTATAAAATTTAATTCCAAAGAAAGAAAAGTCAGCCTTTCATTTAATTAAAATGTGAATTTGAATTGGTAAACTTGAGGGATATATGGACATAAAAAGAGTTTATAAAAAAATGGTACTTGCTTGCTATCTCAGTTGGAAGATTTATTTCCAAGTTTCCAGAGTTATTCAGCATTTGGCGTAAAATGGACTTAATTCTGTTTTTCATCATTGCTCCATTGTTATTTCTAGTAAATCGAAATTTCATGATCATATCTGCTATCACACCACCATTGCCTCGCCTGTAAACCATAAAGATATATTTTAAAGTGGATAATTATGATAATTTTCTACTGTTCTATTTATATATTCTTCTTCATTAAGGCTTTTTTTTTAAAAAAAAAATAATTCACTTTAGGAATTTAACTATAGAACAGATTCACATAACAGTGTTTTCACATGTAATGTTATATCATAATGTCATCCCACAAATTTGATTTCAATTTACAGTACCTGGTACCCACGATAGCACACATGGCATTGAAGTCAGAATACTGGAGCTTTGCTGTGTGACCATATTTAAGTTTCTTAATTTTCTTTATCTAAGTCTCCTCACATGTAAAATGGGTTGTTATGAAGATTATACGAATTAATATATGTAAAACTTTTAAGAAGATTACATAGCATACAGTAAGTGTGCTCTTTTAAGTATTAGCTGATATTAGACTTCACTGATCTTAAATGAGAACGCTCATCTCCTGAAACAAACTTACAAAGTGGTGAACTTCCAAATTTGTGTGCGTTAGAGACTCAACTTACAGATACCTAGACCCATTCATCTGGCTAGAACTGCTAATTTTAGCTTTTGTTATATGTTAAGATTTCATCACCCATATCAATTAACCATGGATATGCCTCATAACAAATCTTGATGACTTGATTAAAGATTCTGATTATCTAAAACTTAGGTAAACTCCACTCTCTTCTATGAAAATTACCACCTAAACTACTTTCTCCACCTATGTTGGCTATTCTCTTTTCTGAAAAAGTACATTAAACAAATTTGGTTTTTATGCCCTCATATTCACTCTTGGCCTCTTCTTCTCATCTCAATTGACAGTTCTGACTTAATATTTGTTCCAGATTCTAATTTAATATTTATTTCACAAATATTTGCTAAGCACCTTCTTGTGCTAGGCTCTACTCTGAGCTTCAGAAATTAGCTGTGGCCAAGACACACAGCTACCATAGTTTCAGTGGAGAAGCAGACATAGAACAAATAATGACAACTTCCATGTCTAGCAACGTGGAAGCTTAGATAATTAATAAAAAAACCCCTTTCCATATAAGACAATCAGAAATGCTAGATAATATATAATAAATTCCATTTCAAATAAAAAGCAGAGCCCACATGAAAATAAGGAAAATCTCTGTGGACCAAAAATAAAGAATGACATGAATATTATGTGGTAAGACTAGAATACTCGGTAGGCTTGTGTTTAGCATTTACACAGAGACTAGAGGTGGACTAGTGCAAAACAGGGGGATGAACTTGAAGTCTCAGAATAAAACCAGGAGTCTCAAAGAACTAAATCCCCAGTGAAAGCATGCATTAGAATGAAAAAAAAAATCTGTTCATTATCTTATAAAAGAAAAAGAAGTTTATCTGTCTCTCAGATCCAGCTCTAAATGGAAGAAAAGAAGTCTCACCTGAGAATTTATACTCATGGGCATGACTGTATAATCTTTGAATCTGCATTAATACTACGAGCATAGTCCCAGAACCTTCAGGCTAAGAAATTAATAAAAAAATAATCCACGTGCTTCTGATTTCCCTAGGGTGTCTGACAAAGCAAATGCTCTGGAGGTATGTGTGTTAAATCCAGGTTGCATAGGATCCCACTCAGAAGGTGGGATTAAAGATAAGCATGCAATTCCAATGGTAAACCATACATCATGAGCTAGAGTCAAAACAACAACAAGAGCATCCTCAAAAACTTGGCATAATAGAATTAATAGATAGTTACATAGATTAGTTAAGTATATTTGAAATGATTAATGACATATAAGAAGAAATCTTAAATTTGAGCTAAGGAGAGGACATCATTAAAAAGAAAAGACTAGGCATAGTCTCAAAAGAAACAAATAGAGCTTGCAGACAGGAAAACATACTCATTGAAATTGAAATAAATAAATGGATTACACAGAATACTAATAGTCATAGCTGAAGAGAAATTAGTTAACTGAAAGAGATGAAGAAATTACACACAATCTACACAGATAAAGAGATGAAAAAGATCAAATACAGGTTAAGAGACATGAGCAAGCTCAATGTGCACCTAAAGCAATGCTAAAGAAGAGCACAGAAAAAATAAAAGAGCAGTAAGATTAGAAGAGCTAATGAGAATTATCCATGTAATGATATCAAGTAGGCAACTGTGTAGATTAATGTCTAGAGATAAAAGAGGACTGGTGTAGAATTACAAGTCTGAGACGAATCAGCATATGAGTGGCAATGAAGCGAGAGTGTGAACTAAGAGATGAAGGAGAGATGTGAACAGAGGAGATGAGAAGATTCCAGCACAGCCTGAGGTTCACCAACATTTGAGGAAGGTACAGAGCAGGAGTGAGAGCTCGCAAAGCAAACTGAGAAGGAGCAGCTGGAGAGATAAAAGGAAAATCTGATTATAGGAACCAAGAGATTGTCCTATTAAGGAGCAACAGGCCAATGATGCCAAATACTGTTGGGAGGTCCAAGAAGAGGACTGATGTGGTTTCCTTGGATTTTGTGATTTGGATGTCATTGTTGAACTTGGCAAAATCAGTTTGTATTTTATGGTGTGATTGAAGCCAGACTGCAGAGGATTGAGTGGTAGATGGAAAATGAACAAAAGGAGAGAAAATGCAGGTGGTTCATTTAGTTCTATGAGTTTCCAGGGCTTATTCACCTTTGAGCATGAGTGGCTAGCACAGAGCTTTTGATAAGAAGGTACTAAGTGAATGTGCATTGCATTGGCTGAAATGTGTTTTGGAAAATACCCATCTCATGGGCTCTTCCTATTCTTCCTATTCTTCTAACTCCTCATCAAAACTCACCTGACCAGAGCTCTGTGCCCTGGGTACTTACTAGGTGACTCTCCAGAGAATAAAAAGAATTAATTTTCCTGTGATGTTAGTATTTGAGAAAGAATTCGTATAGCTCCTCTCCCTACCAAAGAACTTTTCCATGTTATTTGAAGGATTGAGCAATATCCTCATTTGAGGCATTTGTGGGAGGGTCAGTGAAGGTGCCTATTTCAGTTGGGAGGGCTTATTCATCACATCACATGGACAGGTGCATATTCATCTGAGGCAGGAAGGGCAGATAAGCATGCATGATGCTAGTCCTCCTGTTATTAGTCCATGACAAACATGTCTTATATTTGGCAACAGCACCCTTTTATTATAGCACTCCAGACAGATAAAACCAAAAAGCCACTCTTGATGTTGGTTATGGTGTCCTGATCTTGGATGAATACACCTGAATCACAGCACTGCACAACTCCGGGAGGAACTGTTTACATGGACCACACTGCGAATGATACCCACTGAGTTTACATAGGATGGCCCTGTTACTGTGCCTGGACCCCAACTCCCTCTCCACCCTTTCCTCCTCCTTCCACTAACAATTGGAGTAATATGGTTATTTACATTAGTAGCTAAAGAGATTGTATGTGACATTTTTTTTTGGGGGGGGGTAGGGGAGGCATTGTTTTTAAGCTGCCAAGGATTGTATTTCAGTAATATTGTGACAAATTGTGCGAATATATCATTCATTATCCATTCTGTGAACAAAAGTCAAAGGTGCCAAATTGTATCTATACTTAAATATATTTTGATATAGTTCCACTCACCTCAGTTTGACAACATGAGCTCTGATGAATTGATTTCTTAAATTCGATTCTTTGAATGTTTTAGTAACCTATAGAAAGAAATAAAAAAACTTCTCTGTAATTACAGTTCTTCTTCTCCTCCCTCCCAACCTTGCAACATGAGGATTATGTTGACACGGAGTAGAGAACCGAGTTTTCAGTTCAATTCGGTTCCACCACTGCACACATGGGATTGACTTAGGCAGGTTCTGTGACCTTTTGATGCAGTGCCTATTTCTTTATCTATCACACGTAGGTGATTCTGGACAGGATGCATCTTCACTGGAAGTCACTCTAAACACACCCGATGTTTTACTCCGGGAGAGCTTATGTTATATGATTTGGTGGCTGTCACTAAGGGAAGGAGCCAAGCTAACAACACTAGGGAAGTCCACTGACACAACTCACAATGTGTGATTCCCCAATGACTGTTTTTAAAATGAATGAAACCAGATTAAACCAGAATAAAATGAGTAGCAATAGAAAGCTTGAAGAGAAGGGGAAAAAGAGGCAAAGGGCAGACTTTTTCTATTTTTTATTTTTTGGTCATTTCTGATTTGTGCCTAAGCATCAGAGGCTACTTTGAGCATCAGTTGGCAATTTCTTTTACTTTTTAATTTTTTTAGAGATGAGATCTCGCTATGTTGCCCAGACTGGCCTTGAACTCCTGGGCTCAAGGGATCCTCCCACTCAGTCTCCAGAGTAGCTGGGATTACAGGTGTGCACTACCACATTCACTCATTTGGTAATTTCTTGGTGTCGCCCGGTCCCAGCAAGGACGGTTCCCTTGAGGTGTAAAGTTGAGCTTCACAGTCAACTAGAAGTGCTTCTGTGACCGCCACAGTTCTCTGAGATGCAGGGTCAGGTGTGCTGTAGTTTTATAATGAAAAGTGGATTACGTGCATCTGTACTGTGAGGTGGCACCAGGTGGATGTGGATATTTTTAGGTGAGGATGAGGTGAGGGAATTAAGAAGCATGCTGAATATTGCATTAAGCCAGGATTTAAAGCAAATTCTTCTTGAGACTGTGAAGTTTATGCAATTTATATTATACTATCATATATCTTACTTTTTCAATACCAATTTCTATAGAATGACTGATATCAGACCAACTTGATTTTTGATAATATGATAATTTTCTGTTTTTCCAGAGAGGACTTGAAACTTTTTAAGACTGAGATTTTTGGTTTTGTCAAATTTGTTTTCCTTTATCAAAAATTCAAGAGATACTAGTAATCATTAAGAAAGCAAAAAGTCACTCTAAATTCTATGATCTAGAATTAGCCATTACTGTCATTTGGTGAGCTGTATTCCAGTTATCTACTTAGAAGGATGGGTTTTAATATTAATGTTTTTATTACTATGGCATATTATAGGAGGTATTTTAGTAAAATAATTTAATTTTACTTGACTTTAACAGAAGTAGGAGAAACTGTCAAAAGCTGAAGGAAAATTTAGCTGAAGCTAAAATTAGGATAACTGTTTCTTGTAATTATATTTTAATTCACAATTTGGCATTGCACTGGCACAGGCTAGACTGCAGAAAAGTGTTACAGATCCACTTTAATTTGATATTTCTGTTATATAGAAGCAATATGCAGCAATTTAGTGAGGGCTAAGCTAATAAATAACAGAGACAATAAATTGATTAATTGGTTGATATGCATGTACAAGGGTGAAAGAAAAGGTCTATGGATAAGATCCATATTTCACAAAGTGGGTGAAAATGTCACTATTGACTCTTTTATCAGAACTTATCAAATGCTTGGTGGAAAATCAGTGAGCAGGTGCTGGGAGAGCATGCCAGTGAGACAGCGGAAAGGGCAGGCGATGGAGAACACAGAGCCAGGTTAGTTTAGTTTGTTTTGAGAACTGTAATGAACTCTGTAATCTTTCTTCCCCTCAATTTCTCCATCTGCAAAAGGAAGGTAGTCAAAGGTGTACTAAAATAATTTATCTGTACATAGTTGACTACTGCAACTCACAGAGACTATGCATTTACTTTTCATAAGCTTTATATTCAATCTTTTGGTGTTTTTCCTCCCTCCAACATTATTAACCCATTCAAATGAGTTTACTTTAGAATCCCTTTTTATTTTTCTAGTGCTTTTGTGATTTTAATCACTCTCATTACAACTTTCTCTTCGTTTAATCAGAAGATCTGGAAAGCTCAGTTTTAAGGAAAAGATAAAATAAGAAACATGGCAATATAACCTATTACTACAGTGTTCTCCAAATATTTTTACTATGTACTCCTATAGGTAAAATATATTATGCATGAGTAGTCAAAACATGTATATTACTTATAAATTATATATGTCATAATAAACTACTAACAATGTATATTGTTTATAAAATTAGAAATTAAAAAGGCTGAGTTATAAAACAAATACCTAGGTATTTTATTCTATTCATTTAAAAATATTAATATATTCATTGTTACAGTATGACTGATAGAAATTATAATTTTTGAAACACTGTCATATGATCATTCAAAGGTCTGATTCTAAGTTTAATTTCACTAGTTGGTTTTAAGCACTGACAAAGTTTCCACATAATTATGTGACCCCACATTCATGAAGTTTAAGGCTGGCAAAAAGATAATATATTTATATTTCATAAATCTATTATAAAATTTATTATATTTTTATTTATATATTTATATTTTATAAATTGCAAATATCAGATTTACAATTTGAGAACAATCTCTCTTGCTCCATATGGATAATAAGTTCTAGAGAAGAAATAATGCAAATGAACAGATTAGTTTGATGCTATTTTGGTGCCTCGGGGTAGAGGTGATGGCTTGTTTGGATGTGGAGGTAGTGGATATACATAGAAGTGAATGGATTTGAGGAAAATATGTGGGATAAATTCTTTAGGGGCTGATGAGGGATTGGATGTTTGGAATGATAGCAGTATTTCAAGTATGAATTCTGGGTCTCCGGTTTGGATAGCTGCATAAATAGCATTGCTATTAATAAGGATAGGGATCATTGGAAGAAGGCTAGAATGGTGCGGGGATATCATGAGTTTGAGTTGGGGACTAATGTATGCAAGATGCTTGAAACAATCAAGTAGAGACATTTAGCTGGCAATTGGGAGAAAGGTCTGGAGTGCAGAAGAGTAGATAGATCTCTACCTCAGTAACAAAAATTCCAGATGAATCAAAGATAAAATTATGATGACTGGAATACAAGTGCCAAAAGAAAATGTAAATGAATATTTAGGGTGGAGACAGCCATTCTGAGCACAAAAGTGAAAAATTATAAAAAATTGATAATTTTGGCTACATAAAAATTAAATCTATTTTGCATAAAAAACTACATTATAAACCAGATTAAAAATTTAATCTCTTATCAGAGAAATAGGTACAACATGAATGACAGACAAATTTTAATATTTTAATAATCAAAGATGTTTGTTTTCCAAATACCTATTAAAAACAAATGCTCCAATAAAAAAAATTAGTGAGGTAATGACCAGGCAATTCACAAATGACATTATAAAAACAACCTACTAATATATGAGGACATTAAATTTCACTAGTAATCAAAGAAATTCAAATGAAAAGAATAATGAGATATCACTTCTCACCTATTAAATCAGCGATAAGTAAAAAGATTTGCAATGCCCAGTATTAACGCTGTGGAGAAATAAGCATACTTATGTATGTTTATATACTGCCGGTGGGAATATAAACTGGGGCTCAACACTTCTGGAGTGCAATGTAGAAATTAAATAGTTAAAATTCACAGACAAATGGTTGAATAAACAAATACATGGGGAGAATAGACAAAGAGAAAAATTTCAAATAGTTTTCAAATAGTCGAAGCATAGCTCTCTACTCCCCTACTACTTGCATGTGAGCTACACATAGTGACTTCTTTCCTTCCAAGGATTATTGTAAGAAAAAGGGGAGGAGTAACTTTAGAGTATAGAAACCTGACAAACTCTCCCTCAGCCAGGTGATGAAGGTCAACAGTGACAAATCATGTTGATAATATAAGCCCCCTTGATATGATGTGGAAATGACGCTTTTTGTGTATGGTCATCCTCCTTGCAATCCATAATCCCAGTTTAACCATGAGAAAAACAGCAGAAAAAAAAACCAACTTGTGGGCCATTCTATAAAACACCTGACCAATACTCCTCAAAATCATCAAGGTTATCGAAAAAAAGGGAAATGTGAGAAAACTGTCAAAATCGACAAAAGCCTAAGGAACCATGACAACTAAATGTAATGGGGTATTCTGGATGGGAACCTGGAACAGAAAAGAACAATAGGCAAAACTAAGAACATCTAAATAAAGTATGGAATTTAGTTAATAACAATATATTAATATTGGTTAATTAATTTAACATGTACTATTGTAATATAGTAACTTTTCTATAAACCTGAAATAGTTCTAAAATAGAACCTTTTTTAAAAATAGAGAAAAAAATCTCTAGAGAGAAATAACAAATACATGGACTCTATAATTTGTTAATTTTACTTCTAGGAGTATGTCCCAAGAACATAATCACTCAAGTATGCAAGGATGTATGAACCAGGGTAGTCATGAGAATGTTGAATATATTAGTGAGAAAGTATAAACAATTTAAATGCTTGTCAATAGAGAACTAATTAAATAAAATATTGTATATTTATATACTACCGTTTAGTTATATAAAATAGTATATTTCTAAATTTATTGATATTTAAATACCTTTGTCATATTTTTGAAAAAAGATTGTAAAATAGCACATATCATCTGATTCCACTGACATAAAATTATGTTTTTGTGCATGTGTTATATATGCAGTTTGCACAGAAAAATATCTGGAACATCAAAAAGTTAATACTGGATAAATATGAGTGTTGAGATTTTGTGTGTATTTTTGATTCTTTGCTTCTCCTGGATGCCCTGAATTTTTTACATGTTGTATATTATCTTTATGACAATACTAAAACTACTTTCTTTTGAAAAAAAAGGCTTATACACACATTGCAATATACTTTATAGAACATTTTTGGAATGATTTAGGAATAGCAAGCTAGAACACAGAAAAATTTTTGGTCAGTTGGGATAGTTGTTCTAAAGGCTTACTGAATGTTTTCCAAAGGTGCTTATAGTACTTTTTAGTTCATGTCCTTTCATATTGCTGAATATATGTTATGCTTTATGCCATTTTTCTCCAAATTACCCTTTTGTGATTTCACATATGGTCCATTAAGTTGGGTTGATCCAACATAGCCGATCTGTTCTGGCAGGAACTGAGTGACCTCAACAGGGCTGAGGACATCTCTAGCATCTCACTGTAATGACAAATAACTGAGTCCTAATCTGCATAATGAAGCTGGAACCTCCCTACGTAGACCCTTCTGGTTCGATTCCTGTATTAAGATGGGTGCACGGCTGAACATTACAACTTTGTGTGAATGTAAGGACTTCACTATGAATAGCTATCCTTAGACTGGCTTCTCGAGGATGTGTATGTATCTCTAGTAGCTTCTTCAAGAAATTTAGGCATGTCCATTGGTTTCAACTTCAAATAATGGGATCTCATGGTACAAATAATATTACTAAATATTTCTGCATATTTTTAAGAGCATGTTGGGAGGGAGGTTGCTTTAAGTTCAAGATGAAATTTTATCTGAATTTTCACATTTTCTAGAACATTCCCTAATTCAGGCTTTTAACCCCTTTGCTCTTTTCTGAACCACTGTATTGAGTTTCTAATTAGTCTTACTGTGTGCAGGCTCTTGTCTTTCTAATTTAATTTATATACTCTGAAGCTGAATCTGTCAGAGCCTGTTTTCTTCATTTTACCTCCATCCAGCTCCAAGCTTTTTGCCTACAAAATAAAATCCAAAGTTGCTAGCTAAGCACCTTCTTACTTCTATCCTTTGGCTCAAATTTTAGTCATTGTGTGCCCTACTCATTCTCACACCCAACCCGAAAAGTCATCTTTTATTAGAAACCATCTCTGATCTCCATGACTGGGTATGATTAATTCCCCTCCACATTTCCCCTCCCCCCAAACTCATATCTATGTTGCTGTCATGCCACATACTCCTGTATATCTTGCATTACAGGTATTTGAAGACTTTAGCCTTCCCCTCCAGACTAAGCTCCATGAAGGCAGGCCCCATATCTACTCCATTTTACTATGTCCACAGCATTTGGCAGGGTTGATGCTGGACAGATATTTATCGAAAGAACAGGAGGCTCCCACTTCTGACACAATAAACTCACGTTCCCCAATGTTGACTCTATCTCTGCCTCCTGGCCTAGATTTTCTCCTCAAATCATTCTGATATAGCTGACTATTCTGCTCTCATTAAACATTTAACAGATACACCTAACTTCCCTTGCTCTATTCTACATTCAACAAGCAGCCTTCTCATAATTTGGCTTCCCATGAAGATTGTCTCTAGGAAAAAAAATGTGTTAGGCATGTTGATATAAAGTCCCCCAGCTGTGACAGTTCTCATTACAGACTAACTCAGTGGGTCTCAAAGTGTGGTCCCTGGACCATTAGCGTCAGCATCCCCTGGGAACTTGCTAGGTGCAAATTCCTGGGTCCGCCCAGACCCACTGAATCAGAAACTCTGACATTGGGGCCCAGAAATCTGTGAGACTGCCAGGTGATTTTGTTACATGCTAAAGTTTTAAAACCATTGGTTTAATTTATATTTTTAGGACTCTTTTTTATTTTTTATTATTATTTTTTGAGACAGAGTCTCACTCTGTCACCCGGGCTGTGCCATGGCATCAGCCTAGCTCACAGCAACCTCAAACTCCTGGGCTCAAGCGATCCTCCTGCCTCAGCCTACTGAGTGGCTGGGACTACAGGCATGCACCACCATGCCCGGTTAATTTTTTCTATATATTTTTAGTTGGCCAATTAATTTCTTTCTGTTTTTAGTGGAGACAGGGTCTCACTCTTGCTCAGGCTGGTTTTGAACCCCTGACCTTGAGTGATTCTTCCACCTTGGCCTCCCGGAGAGCTAGGATTACAGGTGTGAGCCACCACGACTGGCCTCTTTTTAAAAAAGGTAGGGGTGAGTGAACAACTCTGAGACTGGTCAATTCTAACTCTGCAGGGCTGAAGGCCAGACCCTGGCCTGTGCTGATACATGAATGTCAAGGGTGTGCTTGTGAGGTTTCCTGGCAGGCAGCCATGAAAATGAGTAGGGCACATAATGGCTGACCCATGAGCCAAAGGATAGAAGTGAGAAGGCAGGTGGGCCTCTTCAAGTGAGAATCCAAGCTGGCTTTGCATATCCATATTTCCCTTCAAACTTTTATGTCTATCATTGAACAGTACGATGTTGTCCAATCCATGTTATTACTGACATGGTAAAAAATGTCTTTTAACACCTACTGCCTTGTGTGTTTAGCTGGAATAAGAAAGAAGGAAGAGGGCAAAATGAAAAGGTTTTAAAAAGGCAATCTCAGTGTTTAATTACACAGACAATAGATTTCCAGCCTTTGCGGTCATAACCAAATAAAATGCTTATGTACACATGGCCCTTCTGACACTTTTACTCATGACTTAATATGTGAATAAGAGTGAGCATACTAGTAAACTAACTTGGAAAAAAGCACAGACAAACACATCTTACTCCACTCAAGGAAGGAAAATATGTGGAGCATCCAGAAATTGAAAATACATCACAAAATATTAGGTTTATTATGTTAATTTTACAATGGAATAAAGAACAAAGACAAATATTAACTTACTAGAGATTCGATTCTTTCACTCAAAGTCCTGTATGCCTGTGTACTTGGTGAACTCAGCTGATCATTATACTCAACATTCAGGATTTGAAAGCTGCTTCTGTAGAAGAAAGATTTTTGATCTGGGAAAGAAAGAAAAGGCAAGATCAGCCTCACTTTTACTAAGTAATTGAATTTTTGGTTTATTTGGGATTATGAGAAGCTATATTATACAATTCAAAAAAATTTTTGCTTTCTTTTAAAGAGAGAAAACTCTATGCTTACTATAAATGTAAAGATAATAAATTGTTTTTTCGGTTTTCAAAAAGACTGGCAAAGCCAGACTGTTAAAGATGTTTGAAAACCGGAGTGAGCATTTGAGAAATTAACAATTATTCAGAAATACTATAATTTTCATTCTTACCATATTTTAGAGAGGTTTGTGGTTTATTTTTTCAAGAAATATTAATGGATGTTTATAATGGCCTATTATTTATATGCCATTAAGAAAGAACCCAAAGTAATTCTGAAGTTTTAAAAAGTATTCAAATGCTATTCTCCATATAGAAGAGTTAGTGATTTGTCATTAGTTTTTCTGAAATAAGCTAGAAGATAAGTCTACTGGCAAGATATCTAATCTGTCCAATGTGAATTATTTTCACCAAAAGAGAAAAATCCCTGAAACACACCTGTACATAATTCAGAAACATTATGAACATGGACATAGCCTAATAGAATCTGTCTCAGGAAAAAACCCTGCTTTCTTTTGATCACTAATACACATTACTTATGCAGAGAAATACCTCCATCAGGGGCAAGAGTTGGAGATCCCAGGGGAAGGGAGGTCCTCTGTCATGGAGGGACAAGTCATTTTGGGGCCATAAGTGAACACTGGCACAAAGATTGAAGAAGTCTCACCTAGGTGCCTCCTCTGTGTTAAAGTGTGACAATAGTGTCATTAAGAGTGACAATTCACTCATTTAATCTGAAACTCAATGTCTCTTTTCCCTTCCTCTACAATTCACTTTAGGAATAGTTGACTCCAGGTAATTTGGTAGCAAAATGCAGTCAAAAGCAAAACTTAGCCACAGTCTTTACACTTGACTGGCTGAAATGATTATTCCCCAATATTGGTTTTTCTAATATTGGTAATTTTATTGCACAATCGAGAGTATTTCATTTCAACCTTTGCATAGTTAAGCATCTCTGCCTATTTACAACAGAACATATTATAAATTATGTGCTCTCTTTTTCTTTCCACACTTCCACAAGCCCACGTGCCCACCTGCATGATTTAATGTTTTAAGTAATTTAAATTATTTAACAGAATTATATCTGTTTAAATGATTTAAATGGATTTTAATTATGTAACAATTATATCTTAAATAAAAATAAACTTAAAGTATATTTTTAAGTGACAAAAAGATTATAATGTGTAATATCATCTAGTAAAATTTGACACATTTTATATATACACATTAAAGCATCTGAAAGAATATTCGCCAAGATTTTTAGGGAAAGTTCCCTTTGAGTGAAGAAGGCATAAATTCTTATGTTCTTTATATGAATTTATATTTTTTCTTGTCCATGTTTTCTAATTTTTTGGTGATACAATAATAAAAAATTAAGCAAAATAAGAGAAACAAATAATAAAAGAACGTAATCTTTTTTAAAGTTTGGCTTTACCCCTTTCTACTTCTGAATGGCAAATTTATTTCCTGATCATTATACAGGCTATTCTGCCTGTAGGACTGTTTTCAGGAGGCAGAGCATGAATTAACAAATACTTAGTAATCCAGATTTTAGGTGTTGAAACAGGTTAACTTTTATGATTTTATCAGGGTATTAAATGAAGAGGGAAATTATCACATTAATGAAAAACAAAATGGGCAAATTTTAGCATCAGAAAAGTATCAAGAGCTTTTATTCTTTGGAGAGAATAATCCTTGCCTTTTATTGAAGGGCTTTGTGTGTTAAAAAAAAAAAAAGAATAATCCTTGCTTAAGTAACAATGTTTGGTATACAACAAAAAGTATGCTTGTTATGCTAAAAATGGCGAAAAAAGAGAAAAGTACTGATTGAGTGAAAATGTAGTTATGAATGTGTATTTAGAGAAGAATGATGAGATATATAATCATGTTATATTAAGAAATGAAAGTAGCAATAAAAGAAAGAATGACAACTTTTAATCTGAAAGTATATTTAGTTATTTAGAGTGAAAAGTAAAACCCCTCTGGTACTTACCAAAAGCTAAAAAGTAAACAAGTAGAGCTATGATCACCGCTAGGATCACGACCCCTGCGACGACAAGGAAGCATATTACATACGGATTCAGAAATCTTGAAGTGGACGGTCCCCGTGCTGGCCTTGGAACAAGAGAGGAAAATCACAGGTCATTCATTTCACTCAGAGAAACCATCATTTCAGTGCCACGATCATCTGTCTTGCTCAGTCCCGTAGCTTGTACATGGCTCTATTTGTAGGAATGTAGTCCTAGAAACAAACCTGAGCTGAACAAGGCTGTCCTTAATGGTTTTCCTTCTAAGGTTTTGCTGTTGTTGTTTTAGCACAGAACTATTGACATTTAAGTAGTTTGGGGGAAGCATAAGGGAATCTGATCGATGGTTTGGAATGGCTTCCCCTTTCTGCCAACTGATACAGTTTTCAAGAACAACAGCTTGGGCGGCATCCCAGCCATGTACTGCAGAGAGATGGTTGTGAGTGGGAGGAAGGGTAAAGGGAAGTGGAGAAGCAGGGGTGGGGTGGGGAGGGAGTCAGCATTCCTCACTGCAACATTCTCCATACTATTAAAAATGCAGTGTGGACAGAGGCAGAGAGCTGGGATCAGGGAGAGTAGCAAGACCCCGAAATGCATTAGAATGGCTTCAACAGCAGGGGATTTATGTGATTTATCATCTTTCCCCATGAATTCGTCAACTGCAGTGTAAGTCAATAGACTCAAGCTAGTACAGTCTTTGGTGCTGTGTTGGGCAGAGAGCCCCGGACTGTCTTGTTTGCAGCCTTCTTTCCTCCACCACATGCGTAGGCACTCGCTGTCACGCTGGGGAGGGAGGTCACCAGAGGAGCTGGGTGTGAATTCCAGTTTTACCCCTTGTTGGCTTAAAGATCATATTGTCATTTATCTGAGATTTTCTTTCTGAAAGATAGGAATGATAATATCTACCTCCCAAGGTTGTTTGGAAGATCAAATGAGGTCATGTTAAGTGTTACGAAGTATCTACTTGTAGTTAAATAGTTTATCCAGTTGCCTGTGAGCCCCTTGAGGGTTTTCATGCTTGCGTTTCTGACACATTGCAGAAGGCTTGGCATATACAGGTGTCTTGTGAACATTTATAATATTTATAGATATTTCTTGCATATGTTAATTCCTGAGCATGTTTCAGATTTAAAAGCCAAAACAGAGCAGTTACATTTAGCCTGATTTTAGTCTGATTTTCATTTTTTTTTTCTAGTTTGTTTTGCCAACATTCTGGTAAAAGTGAGAAAGGAATATCCTGAGGGTCAGTGCTGTGAGATAATTAATTACGTTTCACAACAGGGTTGCCTGGTGTGGATTGGACTCTACCCAACTCACAGGCCTATAAACGGGCACCCCTTGCTATTTTGCGTTGTACCACCTGCACATCATATGCTGCAGTTCTGGGGCCAGTAACATTTCAGAAGATTATTGGAGACAGATAAAGATTTGCCAACTTTCAATTTTGTTGAATAAACACATTAAAGATTACAAAAATTGACCCTGATTATTGACATGATAATTTAATAAAAGGGCACTTAAATACATAAAATAGGAAGGAAATAACCTAAGAATAATAAAAAATGCTTTAACTTTACGATATCTTTATTACATTAGTCTTATTTGTTCATTTTTATATACTAGTGAAAACTGACTTTCACTGACACTGGTCCAGAGTCTAGAGTTTGGTAACTAAGTAATTTTCCAGTTGTAGAAAATTGGCGCTTGGTATTTTCTAACTTTTCTGGCCTCAATTTACCCATTTGTTATCTCACAGAATTGTTGTGCCAGTTACATGTGATCACAAATGCACAGTGTTTGGCGTTTGTGATTTCAATAAATATTAGTGCCTGCTGAGCGGTGGGAGAGCCCAAAAGAGACATGAGTTGGGAGCAAGGGTAAACCCAAAAAGCCAAATAAGTCTTAAATTGATTAATCCTCCCTGCAACAACAATTAGGAATTGGCTGTATTTACAGAGAGGAACTGATGTGTCAAGATCTCTAAGTGTAAAGTGAGAAGTACTAAAAAACAAAGATTAAGTTACAGGCCAAAATCCCCCAAAAAACAAAAACCAAAGGCTAGTGTCAGCATGTGCTGCAGCTTGGATGAGCCTCCCATGGGAATGATGTTAGAGACAATTTAGCTTTCAGTTCACAGAAAACATCTTAAACTCAGTGACTGAAAAGCATCATGAGACATATGACTCAATCAAGAAAGGGTGTGTAGCCCAAATTACCTTAATCTCATAAGCCATAATTAATTACATAAGAATGAATTGTTCCACCCTATAGAAAAAGCTGAAGAAATATCTGCTCTCTTGTTAGTAGTGCAACTTGGAGTTTAATCTCTGAATATTGCTGATTATAAAGCTTATGCTAACATAAACTAAAGTCTGTACAGTATTTATTTTGTAAACTATTACAGAAAATATGCTTGTAAACACTATCTCAATTTTGATTCATAATGCAATGGAAATCTGTCCAAGAAAATATTTTGCTTTGAAAGCAGGGTCTTATCAGGGAGATTTTTGGAGCTTGAATTTTAAATAGCAAAGCAAATATTCAGTTGTGACCTGTTTAACCAGTTTCCTTCTCTCTCTCTTTCTCCTTTTTATTAACTTGGAAAAAATTGCATGAATGTTGGAAAGTTTATCTTTCTACACCTTATTGTGAGAGCCTATGTGTCAGGCATTGTACATAACATATTGCCAATCTTCACATTAGCCTTGTGAAGTCTGTGCTATGATCCCATTTTAAAGATAGGGAAGGTGAGGCTCAGACAGTAATTAACTCATTATTATTCAGAAATGACGGAGCTGGAAAGGGAAACCAGGCAGATTTGAATCAAAGAACGTGCACTTCCTCTCACATACATCTCCTCCCTGAGTAAATTACTTCAAGCTACAACGAACAGGAAAGAAGCATGGGAATCCACATCTATTAATAATACTATTTCCTAAAAATACATCATCAGTCTTGACCTCTCTCTTTGAGCTCCACACCATCATTTCTAATGATTAATTGGATGCTTTACAACCACCTTGAATAGAGCAGTTCAAAACTGAACTTGGTATCTTTTTCCCCTTTGGACTCTAGCATTTGAGGATGTAACTTAGGCTATATAAAACAATTATTAGAGAAGGAAAAGACTGTAGGTTATGCTTCAACACAGTGTATCAAATCTTAATTTATTTGGATGCTGCTTAATTGAAAAATAGTTTCAGTTGTGTAATATATATCTTTGTTAATAATGCTCTCTTAATGTTCCTGCAATAAGTAAGATTAATTTTTTCCAATAAAAACATAATAATTTCCTCTTTTTGGAATTTTCTTCGTTCTAATGTTGGTCATATCTTCAAAACGAAGAGCCTGAGATATAAACGATTTTCCTTTGACTTTAAACTTCTTAGCAGAGTGTTTAATTCTTGCATTGTAGATGGCTTCTAAGGGGACGTGGAAAGACTAGAGTTTGGAGATGTGGATTCAAGTTCTCTCTCTGTCAAATAAAAGCTATGAGCTCTCAAATCAGACATAACTACTCTAAGCTCCAGTTTTTAAAAAATTATTAAAATAGATAAGGTAGTACCTTCCCCAAGAAAAAAGAATTAAATAAAACAGTGCATATGATAATGATTTGTAAGCTAAAGTTCACCACGATTTAAGGCATCATTATAGGGGAAACTGAAATATAATAGCAAGAGCTTTAGAAGTGAAGATTGTTCTTTCAATAACTGTTTTTTTAATTTTTTATTGTTTTTATTTTAATAGATTTAGGGGGACAAGTGGTTTTTGGTTACAGGGATGAGTTTTATTGTGGGCTTTTAGTGTACCATCACCTGACTAGTATACATTGTACCCAACAGGTAATTTTTCATCCCTCACCCTCTCTGGATCTCCTCCCACCCCTGGCCCTTCTGAGTCTCCAATGTCTGTTATACCACTCTGTGTGCCCCTGAGTACCCATGGCTTAGTTCCCACTTACAAATGAGAACATGCAGTAATTCTTTTTACATTCCTGAGTTACTTCACTTAGGACAATGGCTTCCAGTTCTATCCAAGTTGCTGCAAAAGACATTATTTCATTTTTTATGGCTGAGTAGTATTCCATGGTGTGTGTGTGTATCACTTTTTTATCTACTCATTGGTTGTTGGGCACTTAGGTTGAATCCATACTTTTGCAATTGTGCATTGTGCTGAGATAAACATATGAGTACCTATATCTTTTTGATGTAATGACTTCTTTTCCTTTGGGTAGACACCCCGGTAGTGGGATTGTTGGACTGAATGGTAGGTCTACTTTTAGTTCTTTGACAAATCTCCATACTATTTTCCATAGAGGTTGTGTGAGCTTACGGTCCCACCAACAGAGTATATGAATTCACTTTTCACCACAGTCTTATTAATATCTATTGTTTTCGACTATTTAATAATATTAAATATTTAATAATGGCCATTCTGGCTGGGGTAAGATGGTATATAATTGTGGTTTTAATTTGCATTTCCCCAGTGGTTAGTGATATTAAGCATTTTTTCATATTCATTGGCCTTTAAAAACATAAAATCTGTACCCCCATAATATGCCGAAATAAAAAAACAAAAACAAAAACATCTGTCCTTGTCATTTGCCTACTTTTTAATGGGATTATTTGTTTTCTTTGCTGACTTGTTTGAATTCCTTGTAGACTGTGGGTATTAGTCTTTTGTCAGATATATAGTTTGCAAATATGGGTTTAAACTCTTTGTTTACTTTAGGGCATCACTGACGGAGCCTTTTGAAATGAGGAGTAACAGAACAGCAGTGTTTTAGAAAGATTAATCTGGTGGCCTGTTTGAGCTGCAATAGGAGGGAGGTAGGAGGTAGGAGGTCTCAATGTGGAAAGTAATATATCAGTCCATAAATGGAACAGGAGGGTCTAGGGCCATGTAGGGGCTATAGAGGTGGAAAGGGAAGGGTTAGGACCATTCCCTGGTATAGGATTTAGTGCTGGGGCAAGAGTGAATAACAGTCTAAGTGAAACTCTGAGGATTGAGCTTGAGTAGTCACATGAATAGATAATTTGATTTTTTTGAGATGTGTTTATAATGTTTAATTTTAGTGACTGGCAATAT